TGGCGGTGGTGAGCTGGGCTCCCCGCAGAACCGTGCTTTGAGAGGCGCCGGTGCCAGGGGCTCCTGGCAGGGTGGGCGAGAAGCGGCTCAGCGGGGCCCAAACCCACACCCGGGCTCCCCAGCTCCCCCCAAGGGTGGGGTCATTATATTTATTTATTCTGCAGCACACTGTATTCACAGTACATTAAGCATTTCCATTACCTAAAATAATTAGGTGATAGGAAGCGAAGTGCTCCCTCTAATTTGCTGTCCTTAAATAAAATTAATGTTGCTGTGATGTTGGGCCCCGGCCATTTGTCTTTTCCAATTATCCACCCGCCCTTCCATCTATTATCTATTCTGATATACGACTCAATTATTTCCTCTGTTCTACGAGCACACGCCACTCCGAGCAGCGCGGCGAGCTGGAGGGGGCATCCAGCTGGGGGACGTCCCCCCGCTGTCCCCCAGAACCAGCCCACAGCCAGGCAGGGGATACAGGCAGGACAGGCAGCCTGGGCCAGGCAGAAGGGTCCTGGAGACCCCAGGTACTTACACGATGGCGTCCGTGTCCTGGGCGAGCCGGGGCGACGTGCAGCCCAGGATCTCCCCTGGGGACTGCAGCTTGCACTGGGGGACACACACCTTGTACTGGGAGCGCAGCTCCTCTGCCGCTGCCTGCGGGAGATCTGGGGTCAGCGGGGACAGAGCGTGGCAGAGAGCGTGGCCGAGGCTGGTGGTCCCCGGCACTGCTGGCAACCCTTGGGGACCCCCCGGCCCTGGCAGTCCCAGCTCCATGGGGCACCAGCGGCAATGGCTGTGCTGTCCTGCCCCAGTATAGCGGCAGTGGAGGGGAGCTGGTCTGCTCGGGGTGGCACCGTCACGGAGGGTAGCAGCCCCGCAAGGGCGAGATGCTCAGCGAGGCTCAGCCAACGTATCAATTAAAAGACAAGGAAAAGCGCTTAACGCTTCGACAGCCCCGTGTTTAGACAGACATGGCTCAAGAGGCTCATTCATCTCCTCCCGTCCTGCCCAGCCGGCCGTTCAGGGGCAGACAGACAGACCCGCCGGAGCTTCCCCTGCCGCTGCCGGCACTGCATCAAAATGCCAAGTGCTCCACTGCCTGCCCTGACATTTACAGAGCAGCTCCCGGGGGAGCCAGGGAGGGGTGCCACCATGAAACATTGATCAGAGTTATTATAAAGTACTTGATCAACATTACGGCAGCAGCATATTATCGCAGCGACTTGTC